ATTTGTTAAAGAGACTGTCTTTTCCCCAATTAACAGACTTTGGGCCTTTGTCAAATATCAGTTGCTCATAGTTGCCCACTGACAGGATTTCCCTTCACCACTGTCCTTCAGGGAGTTCCCAGAAAGGGGCTGTAGTGCTACCGCTGTCCACTTTTGAGTGGTGCCTGTATATCATGCAGAACCATCTGTAAACCAGGCACGAGTTTTCTCTTCTTCAGTCAACTGATCATAAGGAACTAACTCCCCATGAGGCCATAAGTGCAGACTGGGAGATGGAAGACAATGTGACAGGAATGGAGACCATGGGCGTTTGGGCCACTTCCTCATGTAACTTACTTGTGCCATCAGGTCCTGCTCAGGCCTGGTCTCCTATATATCACTTCCATTTGATGATGCAGTGCTACTGTGCACATCCAACTTCATGTTTGTGTGAGTCAGACAACAACTAGTTCATGATGGGAATCTCAGGCAGCATGGTGATTTGGTGTCCCATGGTTAAGCGTTCAGTCTCTACCAAGGCTCAGTAACAAGCAAAAACTGTCTCTCAAAAGGAGGGTAATTATCTGCGGAGGATGGCAGGGATTTGCTTCAAAATCCTAAGGGACAGCACTGGGATTCACCAGTAGGGGCCCCAAAGACTCCAAACAGCATCTCCATCAGCCACTGACACTTCAAGCACCATTGGATCAGCTGGATCATATTCCCCAAATGGCAGAGCCACTTGCATGGCAGCCTCAACATGTTGCAGGGCTTTCTCTTGGTCTGGGCTCTATTCAAAACTAGCAGTTTTTGAGTCATTTGATAAATAGACTGGAGTAGTACACCCAAATGAGGGATACACTGCCTCCAAAATCCAAAGAGGCACTAGGCATTGTGTCTCCTTTTTAGTTGTGGGAACAGCCAGATGCAATAACTTATCCTTCACTTTAGAAGGAATATCTCGACATACCCCACACCACTGAACCCCTAGAAACTTCACTGAGGTGGAAGCACCTGAATTTTTGTCAGATTAATTTCCCAGTCTCTAGCATGTAAATATTTTACCAAGAAGTCCAGAGTCATTGACACTTCTCCCTTACTCGGTCCAATCAGCATAATGTCATCAATGTAATAGACCAGTGTGACTTCTTGTGGAAGGGAAAGGTGATCAAGTTCCCTGAGGACTAAGTTATGACATAGGGCTGAAGAGTTCATATAGCCCTGAGTTAGGACACTGAAGGCATGTGGCTGGCCTTGCCAGCTGAAGGAAAACTGCTTTTGGTGGTCTTTTGAAACAGGCATGGATAAAAAGGCATTAGCTAGATCAATAGCTGTATACCAGGTACCAGGAGATGTATTAATTTGCTAGAGAAATGAAAGTACATCTGGAACAGCAGTTGCAATTGGAGTCACTACCAGGTTAAGCTTTCGACAATCCACTGTCATTCTCCAAGATGCATCTGTTTTTCACACAGGCCAAACAGAGAAGTTGAATGGGGATGTGGCGGGAATCCTAATCCCTGCGTTCTTCAAATCTTTAATGATGGCAATAATCTCTGCAATACCTCCAGAAATGCAATACCACTTTTGGTTTACTATTTTCCTAGGTAGGGACAGTTCTAACAGCTTCCACTTGGCTTTTCCTGCCATAATAGTCCTTACTCCATTTTTCAGGGATCCAGTGTAGGGGTTCTGCCAGTTTCTGAGTGTATCTATTCCAATTATGCATTCTGGATCTGGGAAAATCACTACAGGATGGGTTGGGGACACACTGGACCCACTGTGAGAGCAACATGAGTTAAGACTCCATTAATAACCTGACCTTCATATGCCCCCACTCTGACTGGTGTGTCACAGTGATGTTTTGTGTCTCCTGGAATTAATGTCAATTCAGAGCCAGTATCTGGTAATCCTCAAAAAGTTTGATTATTTCCTTTTCCTCAATGAATAGTCTGTCTTGTAAAGGCTGTAGAGCCCTTTGGGGTAGGTTGGGAGAAAGATTAACAGTATAAATTTTGGGCAGTGTAGTGAGGTCCTTTCTCAAAGGGACCCAGCCTCCCCTTCTTTCAAGGGGTTGTGAGTCTTTCATCTTGCTCAAATCTGGGAATTTATTGAGGGACCGTAACTCTCTATTTCAGTGATTCGAGTTAGACTGCTCTTAACTTGACCCAGAATTCTGCTTGTACAGAGCAAGTAAATTTCCTATTTACTTCACTGCTGGGGACACCATGACTAAGTAGTCAATGTCATAAGTCCATAAGAATCAGACTGTTTTGATTACTGCTTTGACTCAGCTGTCCACTACACTAACCACGCCCACCTTGTCTTTATCCATTGAGTGCTATCACTTGGCTCCTACCACCACTGTGTCAAGTCAGTCCCATTGTAGTTAGGTGTCTTAATTCATTTAGGGTAGTTCCCATTGTCAAACCTGACTTACATAAAATAGCAATCACAGCAGTCTTTAAGGATGCTGGGGCTCCCTTCACAAATTTGTTCCTCACCGTTGTGGTAAAAGCTGTGTCTTCTGGGCACTCTATCTGTGGGTCTGTGGGTCTAACCTGATAAATCCACTCCAACATGCCAATTTCCCTAAGCCTTTGGATACTTTCTTCTACCGTATACCAAGGCAAGTCTGGTATTTCAACTTGATTTAGCATAGGCCACCACGTAATCCATGCTTCAGTGACCCAACCAAAGAAACTATTAGATCCTTTCCTAACGTCTCAAGCTGAAACATTGAATGAAGAATCTGTGCTTAGTGGGCTCATATCAATAAACTCAGACTGATCCATTGTACGTTCTTTGCACCATTTTCCCACACCCTTAATAGTCATTCCCACACATATTCCCCAGGCTTCTGTTTGTACATATTGGAAAAGTCAAGCAGTTCTTTTGGAGTGTAGCGTACCTCCTCCTGGGTCACACTTTGTATTTTACCTTTTAGGGATTACTGGTACTTAATTCTACTTATAGCTTTAGAAGCCAAAACAGGTGGTGGGGATGTGTTTTGAGAACATTCAGCAATGTATTTTAACGCATCTGCCTCAGGCAATGCCTCTTCAGACACAGCTGGGTTAATCTCATCAGATGAGGGTAGTGGGGCTAATTGTTTTACTGGGGAGAGTAGTTTAGCAGACAAAGATGGAGTAATCTCTTTAGATGGGGATGAGATGACTAGTTCCATCGCAGAAGTGATTCAATGGAATTTAGGGTCTCAGTGTCCCCAGCTCCCTGATTATCTACCCATATGTTCCCATCACAAGTTTCAGTATCCCATTTCTTCCCATGCAGCTTTATTTCAACCTAGGAGTCTCATTCTAATGAGAGACCAAACCCTTGTTTTCCAGGCAGATTACACAAAAAATAAATCAACTCTTCAACTCAGTAATCAAAGAAAATTTTGTTATTTTACTGTGAGAAAACCAATTCTAAGCTTTATACATTATTTGATATTAAAATTTCTTAACAATTGTATAAATGAACTCATCAAATTTTAGCCAAGTAGATAAAATCTTTGATTATATTAAACAAATTCCTTTTTTCCCTAAGGCTTTAAACTTTTTTTTTTATTGTACAACCTCTTAAGTGGCAATAATGAACTTATTTATCAGCAGACATATATAGATATATGTATATTTTCCTTTGACATAAAAAGCAAAAGAGTATAAACTTAGATATTAATTCAATTAATATCAGTAAGTTATTTAAAAGTCTTCAAAATTATCTTTTCTGAAATAGAACATACTTCATATAACACTTAGCTTAAGTTGCTTAGAAAGGTTTTACAGAATATAAAAATCTTTGTTAAAACAAATTCATGTTCATTAATTTCTGGAAGTATTTGGACTGTTAAACTTTTATATACACGTATTTATTATTAAACCAACTACAGTATGTTCTTTGAAGAAATGTTAAAATCTAATTTAATAATACCATCCAGAAGTAAGAGATTATTTTCATAGCTTTCTTCCTGACTGCTTTATAGGATTGTTTAGATAAACTAGTTAGAATAATTTATCATTTTTTGTGCACTTTACAAACATATTAATTTATATCAAAATTTCTCAAAGTAGCTATTAGAAGCTTGAGCATAATAAGCAGTTCTAAGATTAAAATACTGCCTCATACGGAAAAAAACTAACAACTACTAGTCACAACTTCTTGAGACAAGGCCAAAAAAAAAAAAATTTAGCCACAAAACAAGACAAAAAATACATAAATTTACCTTTATGAGTTGGAATCAACTCAACGGCAATGGGTTTTTAAGGTCAGCTCAAAAACCAGGCTTATAAAATACAAGACAAAACAAGTAACTAAGTTTCTTAACATATGCAGCACTTCTTTGGTAAGGTCTACCCAATTCGACAGAAAAACAGTTGTTAGATAAAAATCATTTTCTCAAAGTGAACAGTGAGATTCAAATTTACTGAAGTATACTTAGCTTCTAGTATTTTTGAACATGAACATCAAACCAATGTCCGACTAGGGGGGAAATCCAGACGAAAAACTTTCAATAAGGGTCTTACAAACAAACTAATCAAAACAGACATACTTGCAAGAGCTATTCACATGCAAGTGCTAGCAAAAAAAAAAAAAAAAGAGAGAGAAAACAAAAGTAGAAAGTTCAAAAGATCCTCAAAGCAGCCATTAACCTTACAAAACAGGTAGGAGCTGCCACATCCCTTTGCGAATCAGAATTAACTATTATCTCCTTAGAGATTCTTGTAAATCAAGAACTCAAACAAATATCCTCTTTGGGGGTCCTTGAACGTGCACTTGAAAAGAAAGAGCGAGGCCAAATTTAATGGGCTGAACCTTCTAGCTTTCCCGGGATTAGACTAGAGTCTCATCAGGGATTTGTCGTTATATGGCAGATTCACCATGCTTAATTTGACGGTGAACTTGTCAAAACATTCAGAGTGAACTGAAAATTAAAGTACAGGAGAAAGGAAATCCAGCAATAGATCTTGAATAGTTTCAACACAAGTGTGCAGAGGCTCGATTGTGAAAGAGTTTACCTGAGGAGACCCCTTGGAATTCGGGGAGGCAGCAAGCCAAAGTGGCACAAAGGTCGACCAGAAGCCCGCGTTCTTGTTGTCCAGAGACTGCCAAAGGCAATGCATCTTCGAAATCCCATTTCTGATCTGACACAATCTAAAATCAAAGAGTACAAATGTATACCTTGTTGAAGGTAAAGCAAAGAGATTTCCTGAACGTTCAAAAGCAGTCCAGACTGGGGAAATATCTTACAGAGTGAAACAAATGCTCCTAAACTGGAAAAGCTGCAGAGAATTTTTAAAGGGTGAGAACAAAGAATCTAAGGTACATTATTGTAATTGGATATTACAAACGTAGCTCAGCATAAGACAAGCTTAATGGGAGGGTTACAGAGTTCCTTAAAATAATCCGCTCAAGAGAAACCCTTTCTTGTAAGTGGTTGCCTGGGAGATTCAGATAAGCGTCAGAACCAAAGCCTTTTCCTGAGATATTGTTTTTATATCCTTATCAAGGAAGAAATATGCCTTGAGGCCATCTGGCAGGAAGGGTTTTGACAGCCCCTGGGAAACAGTTTATCAACATTTTTCTAGTTTAACCACAGAAATGGACGCTTCCTTAGTTACACTTAGTTACAAGTCCTAAAAAGTAGGTCTGGGGTTAGTATATACCAGAAGAAAGGCAAGATGGAGTAGGGCCTCAAACTCTAAATCAGCCATATTACTTTAGGCAAGTGTCTCAGTTTATTTGCTTTTATTCAGGTGCATCCTTTGTACTCTACCGAGGTGGGCAGTTGTGAGCGTTTAGAGTGGCTGGCAAGTCTAAAATCTGTAGGGCCTGTGGACAGGATGGAAACTTAGGCAGGAGTTGATGTTTCAGTCTGATGTATAATTTCTTCTTCTCTGGGAAACCTCAGCTTTTTCTCTTAAGACCTTCAACTGATTGGATGAGACTCACCCATATTATCAGGAGTAAACTGAAGATGTTAACCATAACCACAAATAACTTTGCAACAGCCAGATTATTGTTTGATTAAATGGCTGGGTACTATAGCCTAGCCCGGAGCCCTGGTGGCACAGTGGTTAAGAGCTCGGCTACTAACCAAAAGGTCAGCAGTTCGAATCCACCAGCCACTCCTTGGAAACCCTCTGGGGCAGTTCTACTCTGTGCTATAGGGTTGCTATGAGTCGGAATCAACCCGACATTTGGTTTTAAGGGTATAGCCTAGCCAAATTGATACATAAAATTAACCATCACAGTCCACCCATGTCAACTTGGCAACAATACATATGTCCTTAAGCCATACTTGATATCCAAATCCACCAACCCTCTGTCAGTTTGTTATACTGTGGTGGCTTTCATGTTGTTATGATGCTTAAAGCATGCCAGCAGTGTTTCAAATATCAGCTTAGTCAAGTCATGGTGGACAGGTTTCAACTGAGCTTCCAGACTAAGACAGACTAGGAAAAAAAGGCTGCCAATTTACTTCCAAAAATTAGCCATAGAAAACTTTATGTATCACAAGAGAACATTGTCTGACTTGCTTGCTTTGGACATGCCATCAAGAGAGAATAATTTTGGAGGAGAACATATTTTGCAAAGAAGAGGGCCAATGGGCTTTAGGAAGACCCTTGGTGAGATGGATTGGCACAGTGGTCACAGTGATGGATTCAAACATGCTGACAAGTGTAAGGATGATGCAAGACCAGGCAGTGTTTTGTTCTGTTGAATATGGGGTAGCCATGAGTTGAAGTTGACTTGATGACCACTGTCTTAGTCATTTAGTGCTGCTATAACAGAAATACCACAAGTAGACGGCTTTAACAAACAGAAGTTTATTCTCTCACAATCTAGTAGGCTAGAAGTCCAAATTCAGGGTGCCAGCTCTGAGGGAATGGTTTTGTTACTGCAATAACGCAAATTGGAGCAGCCTGCCACAATAGCCAATTCTGAGACGGGGTGAGGTGTGCAGCAAGAGTTTTATTATATATGGATATACAGGAGACAGAGGGGAATAGATTCCTCCAAAAACCTGGTCTCTCCAACTGGAGATTGTCTGAAGGCTTTTATAGGGACAGGATTATGGGTCTTAGAAGTTTGTGTTAGTTCCCCCTTGAGGTGGTCACATCCCAGATGAGCTAATCTTTTCTTGGGGGTTATCTGGCAACATCCTGGTTTTCTTGTCCCAAGATGGGTGCTTTGTTCGGTTTGTCATTCCTAGATCATTTTCACTTGTTTTCCTCCCTCCAGGGAGGAACTTTGTTTAATTTTAAACATTTTGTAGAGACTGGAACTGGAGGGAAGAACAAGATCATGAGACAATGTGGGGCTTAGCAATGGGGAGTAATAATAGTGAGCCGGGCCTGTGCAGCCTATTCCACTTTATCTTTTGGCTCTGGAGGAAGGTCTTTGTCATCAATCTTCCCCTGGTCTAGGAGCTTCTCAGCACAGGGACCTTGGATATATAAGATGCCCTATGCTCTTGGTGCTTCTTTCTTGATGGTATGAGGTCCTCTGTCTCTCTGCTCCCTTCTCTCTTTTATATTTCAAAAGAGATTGACTTAAGACACAACCTAATTCTGTAGATTGAGTCCTAGTTCATTAACATAACTGAGATAGGATTTACAACACATAGGAAAATCACATCAGATGACGAAATGGTGGAAAATTACACAATATTGGGAATCATGGCCTAGCCAAGTTGGCACACATTTTTGGGGGCACAATTCAATCCATAACAACCACTAACAAAACCAAAAATCTCCAAATAAAGACATTTAAAAAGTCTCACTTCTACCTAATGCTATACAACTATCCTGCCAACAACAGAAAACTCACTAACCATTTCATTAGAAACCAAAAACATCAAAACAAAACAAAACTATTGCCGACAAGTAGATTCTGACTCATAGTTACCCTATAGGACAGAGTAGAAGTGCCCCATAGGGTTTCCAAGGAGGGGATGGTTAATTTGTAGCTTTTAACCACTGTGCCAGCAGGGCTCCAACCATTTCACTAGAACAAAAAAAAAACAAACCTGTTGCTATTGAGTCAGTTGTTGCCGTTGAGTTGATTCCGACTCATAGCAACCCTGTAGGATGGAGTAGAACTGCCCCATAGTGTTTCCAAGGAGGGCCTGGTGGATTTGAACTGCCAAGCTTTTGGTTAGCAGATGTAGCTCTTAACCACTACACCACCAGGGCTTCCATTTCACTAGAAGAGGATACCAATTCCTTGGATGTTGTACCTCCTTTTCCTTGATATCTTGCTATTTAAAGACTATGATGTAAAGTTAACTGTTATTAATACACCTTATGTTATATGAAAATGAAATAGAAGAGGGAAGAAAACAAAAACATGGGTGTATGTATACATGTATACACACATACACACACACACATATATAGGAGCCCTGGTGGCCAAATTGGTTAAGCGTTCGGTTGCTAACCAAAAGGTCGACTATAGGAATCCATCCGCTGCTCTTTGGAAACCTTATGGGTCAGTTCTACTCTGTCCTATAGGGTTGCTAGGAGTCAGAATCGACTTTACAGCAATGAGTTTTTATACGCATTTATGCATATATATCTATACTTGAAAGGGAAGCAAGCAGGGAATTGGGGACCTCATACCACCAAGAAAGCAGCACCAGAAACAGAGCGCGTCCTTTGGACCTGAGGTTCCTGCGCTGAAATGCTCCCAGAACAAGGGAAGACTGATGACAAGGATCTTCCTCCAGAGCTGACAGAGAGAGAAAGCCCTCTCCTGGAGCTGGTACCCTGAATTCAGACATCTATCCTACGGAACTGTGAGAGAATAAACTTGTCTTTGTTAAAGCCATCCACTTGGGGTATTTCTGTTGTAGCAGCACTAGATGCCTAAGACAATATATACGTATGTATGTATATATTTATGTATATATATATATATAAAAGATACTCGCAAGAATATAAAGAAAAACACTCATATCAACTACTGTCCTCATTTATGAAACTGATCATGTGGGTGTTGCTGTTATTTATAACAACTTTATGCTACTATCCTTTCTATATTGCCTGATTATCTGACCTCCATAAGCTGCCACTCTGACTGATGAACCATAGTGGTTTTTGGACTTTCTGTAATTAGTGTCAGTACACAACCAGAGTCCAATAATCCCCAAAAGTCTGATTATTTTCTTTTCACAAATGTACAGTATGATGGTTTATGCATCAACTTGGTTAGACTATGCTGCCCAATTTTTGGCCAAATTCTACTCTAGATGTAGTAAAATATTTACGTGTGATTAAATAAGTTGACCTTAAGTAAAAGAAATGAGCCCCCATAATCTTGGTGGGTATCATTCAATAAGCTGAAGGCTTTAAAATCAAATATGGAGGTTTCTCAAGTGAGTATTCTGCTTCAGAAGATAAACAGACAACTTCCCAGAATTCCACTGGCTCCTCTATCAACTGACCTACCAGTTTTGAGACACAAGACTGCCATATTTTCCATCCTGACCTCCAGATTTTAGACTTGCCAGCCACCACAATCACATGAACCTATTCCTCAAATATCAATCAATCAATCTGTCTCTCTATATATTTATATCTTAATATCTATCTATTTATTGATCATCTATCATAGTGGGTCTGTTTCTCTAAAAAATCCTGACTTTAACTCACAGTCACTCTGGTAAAAGGTTGTGGGTCCTTTTGGAAAAGGCTGAGAGAAAGATTAGCAATATAAATTACTGGCAGTGTAGTGGAGTCCTTCCTTAAAGGACCTGGGCTTCCATTCATTTAAGGCATCTGGGTGTATAAGCTGCCTCAAGTCCGGGTATTGAGTGAAGAGACATGACTCTCTCTTTTAGTGATTCAACAAAGACTTCTGTTCCCTCAATCTTGAGCTCTTCCACTTATAATAATTAAGCAAGTATTTAGTACACTGCCTATCTACTTCTCTTTTATGTAGACTATACTAAACCATAGCTCTCTTTGAGTCAGACTATTCTGATTACTGCTTTGACTCCTCTGTCCATTATGGTAACACACACACCTTAACTTTGGTGATTAAATGCAGCCACTTGGCCTCTGTCACACAGGATTCACTTATTCCCCAATGCAGTTAAGGATTCTCAGTTCAGTGGCAGCACTTCCCATTGTAAACTCTGACCTACAGAGAAGATCAACCACAGAGTTCTTTAAGGATACTTGGACTCTTTATTTCTCAAAGTCATGAAGAAAGATGTGTCCTCTGTACTTTCTTGGGGTGGGTGGGCAATCAAATCTCTTGAGATATGAAATTGACTAGAATCTCTGCTTAGTGAACTCATATCAATAAATTCACTGTGATTCAACTCCATGTTCCTTCCATCGTTTTCCCACATCCTTAATATCCATCTTCACACA